GCCCCAGTGCTCCGGGGCACGGCATGGCCGGGACGGGGGATGACGGGGAGCGGAGCCCCTTGCTGAGGGGGACACCCCTCAAGGGGTGCAGGGCGGCGTGCGCGGCCGTGCTGGCGGTGGAGGGTCTGGAGCGAGCGGCTTTCTTCGGCATCACGGCCAACCTGGTGCTCTACCTCACCAGCGGCCCCTTCGGCTGGGGGGGCACCCAGGCGTCCCGCGCTTGCCTGTTCTTCCTGGGGGCTTCCTACCTGCTCTCGCCCCTCGGCGGCTGGCTGGCCGACGTCTACCTGGGCCGCTACGGCACCGTGGCCCTCAGCTTCTTGCTGTACCTGCTGGCGGCGTGCCTGCTGCCCGTCGCCACGTGGCTGGACGGGCGCCTCTCGGTGTGCGGGCAGCTGCCCGCCGACACCATCCAAAACTGCTCTTGGCGGCGCGGCGGGACGTGCCGGGGGCAGCCCCCCCAGCAGTACTGTGCCCCCACCATCTACAGCGGCCTCCTGCTCTTGGCGCTGGGCGTCAGCTCCGTCAGAGCCAACCTCACCTCCTTCGGCGCCGACCAGGTGAGCGCGGCGGCCGGCGGCATCCTTCTCCCTCTGCCCCCTTCCTAACCACCTCCTCCTGGCTGGGTATTCGCTCCGCGCCGGGCTGCCATGGACCGGTGGGTCTCCCTTCCCCTTCTGCCGAGCCAAGGTGGGTAGGGTCTCCCGTGGGGCGGAGGAGATGTGGTTGCACCCCATAGATCACCCCCAAACCCTTCGAGACCCTGGGGACATCCTTGCTGGGGGAAGGAGGGAGGGAAGCCGGGAGGTGAGGGATGGGATGGGGCGTGGGAGGGTTGTGGGATGGGGCATGGGGGGACGTGGGAGGGCGGTGGGACAGGGGATGAAGCAGAAGCCCCGCATTCAGGGCTGAGGTTCGGCGCTGCCGAGGCTCAGAGCTGGCCCCGGGGCCCGTCCCTCCGCACTGGCAGGGGCGGGACCGGGGCGGTGACGCCACGCGGCGCTTCTTCAACTGGTTCTACTGGAGCATCAACATCGGGGCCGTCTTCTCCCTGCTGGTGGTGGCCTTTGTCCAGCAGAACATCAGCTTTCTGGCCGGCTACCTCATCCCCGTCGCCTGTCTGGCCTTGGCTCTCCTCATCTTCCTCCTGGCCACCCCCACCTTCATCACCAAGCCCCCCACGGGCAGCCAGGTCTCTGCCATGATCAAGCTGGCCCTGAAGAGCTG